ATTTAATATTCGATTTTTGTATAAGCAAACTTTAAATTTGATTTTTAAAATTGTAACTTAAAAAAAATCCGATTGTATGTAATTTTCATTTAGATCAAGTCAATCATGTTAATTGGGGTTGAAAAAAAAATGGAAAAAATTCATTACTAAGAAGTATATTTAATTAATTAAATATATTAATATAACAATTTTTTGTAATTTGATTACAAATTGACGTTTTAGTTAGTCACATATTATTTTTCGGTCACAAATCAAAATTTTTATATGTTTCAATTTAAAAATTTTACATGTCACAATTTGTTTATCGGTCACAAGTCAAAAATTTATAAGTCCCGATTTATTTATCGATTACAAATCACAAATTCAATGGGTCACAACTTATTATACAGTAAAAAATTATCATTAGGTCACACATTAATTCTAGGTCACAATTTAAATTTTTTATTGATCACATATTATTTGTTGATCACAGATTAACTAATTTAATGACCACAATCAATCATATAATTTGTGACCACCGTCAAGCGACCACCATCTCACCACGGCCTCTAGCACCACCATAACCACCGTCGTCACTAGAACCACCACCACCACCTTCTCAAACAAATTAATCAAATTTTGAGTCACAATTACATTTTTAGTCATAATAACACATTTTTTTAGGTCACATATTTTTTATCGGTTATAAATTAACATTTTATTAGTCATAACATCCAAATTAATTGGTCACAAACACTCTTTCAACTCCACTCCCAACAACCACATTGCCACCAAAATTGCTGCGGCTAGAACCACCACCATCCCCACCCCCATCCCATCCTACGCCCACCCTAGCAAGCAATAATTGAAAATACTAGTTAAAATTCAACAATCATAGAGACTGTAATTTCAATTTCTATCAGAACCACTGCCACTTCAGTAGCCATGATCACCACCGCCTTATCTGTGACAACCACTGCCTCCATAGCCACGATCACGTCCACCTCCATATCCCTAATCACCGCCATAACCTCCATCAAGTTGCCCATAGCCTCCATTACCGCCTCGACCTCCATAACTTCCCTCATGGCGTCCACCATGGAATCCATCGTTGCCGCGAGACTGAGCCTCATTTACAGTGATGTTACGACGAAGGTCGTAGCCGCGCACTCTTCGACTTCGGCTGTAGTTCGTCCTCTTTTCACTCTATCCGTTGGATTTTTTTTTCTTTTTTTTCGATCTGAAGGCGATGGCAGATGATGGTAGTGGTGGTGTTGGTGTTAATTCGGTTGATTTGTTTGATGGTGGTAGTAACGGTCGACGAAGGTGATGTCGTTAAATTGGTTGAATTAATATTAACTGTGATGATATGTTTGATGAATTGAATTGATGTGGTTCTTCTTTCTTCTCTGTTTTTTGTGTATCCCCCTTTGCTGCCGATCTTTACCCTATGTGGTGGTGGTTGCAGTGGCAATTTTTGATGGTTCATGATGGTGGTGGTGTTAATTTTGGCGATGGTAGTGGTTGATTTTGGTTGATGGTTCTTGGTATTGGTGTTGATTTTGGTAGTGGTTGGCAATGGTGATTGGTGGTGGCATTGTGGTGGTATTGATTTTGGTCGGCTATGTCGTGGTGTTATGGCGGCATTGTGTCGGTTTCTTCAACAAAATATTATAAAAATTATTCTGAAAATTTCAAGGCAAACGCGTTTTTCATTTTTGTTTTTTGAGAAACAATTTTGCAAAATAACAAAAAGAACGTATTTTCAATAATTTCAAAACAGATCCTCAAAATACAAAACACAAAATGAATTCAAAACTCAAAAATATAAAATCGAAACACAAAGAGAACATGACCTTAGGTTTTGGTGTGTGTGGTTGGGTATGGATTAGGTGGAATGTAGATTAATACTAAGCCCCTGTTTGGTTGCCATTATTTCCTCATTAAAATGAAAAATATGACCGTTATCCATCACATCAAGTCATCAAATTTGAATTTCTATATCTTGTGTGAAGTCCGTAATGATTATATTTTTCATCTCATTCTTCTAAAAATGAGAAACAAACGAGGGCTTAATTTTATAATATAATTTTTTATTTTTGAAATAGTAAACTTAGCATAGGATTTTTGGAATGAGATCTTTAAAAGTAGGTTTTTAGAATGAGATTTTTAAAAGTAGGTTTTTATGTCATTTTCACCAAATAAAAAAAATGAAAAAATAAATCTATCCAATCCAATCCAATCCAACCCAAACCAAACCCACTATCATAAAAAAAAAAATAATAATAAATATAAATAAATAAAATGAAGCTATTTTTTATATCAAAAATAGTCAAACAAATTCAATTACTTTTTCAATTTGTGCATACTGTTTAATCCCGCGTCAATGGAAAATGAAAATCATTACAAATTAGAGAGTAGTAAATCTTTACAATGGAAAATGAAATTCTTGAAATCCATATTGAAAAGCTTCTTCCAGCAAAAAGTAAGACTGCTCCATCAACTCAGGGCTCAATCTAAACATCAGAACACAAAATTCCATCTGATTGAGTGCGCCATCTCCATCAAAGTCTCCTTCTTTTAACATAGTGTGAAGATCCTCATCAGACAAGTCTTTCAGCCCTAGCAAAGCAGAGTTCTTCTTAAGACTCTCAAATGTGATGACCCCTTTATCAGAATCCATCAAGACTTGAAACCCATTACAGAGTTCTCCGATTAGACCATCCCCACCCAACTTTTCTGCCATCAAGGGCAAGAAATCTTGGAAATTGGACTGACTTTTTGATGCCATGAAGATTGGTTTTTTTTTTTTTTTCAAGTGAAAGTTCCCTTTTTTTTTTTTTTTTTTTTGTTATATCCAGATTATTAGGGATGAAGAATGGTGTAATATATAGAGGAAAAGGTAGATGGTGAAGAGGGGTTTCTGAGAAGGAGAGTGAACCATTGGGGAAGGAGCACTTTGACAGCTAAGGAACAGTTTGTTGACATAAAACGAAGAAAAGGTCATAGAACCTTGCCCCCTTTTTGCAGGTCATAGAAAAGGTTCTAATTTAAATGAAGAAGAAATTGCCCCACGGCTTCTAAAGTGGGCGGCCGCCGGCAGACTTGTTCTGGAGGGCAAAATTGTCAGTTTCACAATGACGGTTTTTTATCTCGACTTCCGCAGGGGTATAATCGTCTTTTTAGTTTGTGGAGACCAAGTCTTTTGACCCCAACAATGAGCGAATATCTCATTGCTTCCTCGTCTTTTCACTCTTTTTTTATTTCTATTTTCGTTTCATTAATGCAGAAAAAGTTGTATAATTGTTCACAATGTAAATTGACCGGAGCGCATAGTCAACATCCGTAATGTAAAAGGAATTATCTATGTTGGACTAACTTTCTTTATTTTCCGTTTCGTAAGAGGCGGGCACGTATGACTGAGTGCATCGTCAACATTTGTAATGTAGAAGGAATTTACTTTGGATTAGCTTTCTTCATTTTCCTTTTCATAAGAACTACTTTTATAAAAGAGTTTCTTAAGAAAATTATTATATATGCCAATTTTTTCTAAACAATTTCTGAGTTGACAAAGCATGTCATGACCCAAATCTCATGAATATTCTTTTAAATCATTTCTTTTAAAAGATTTTGAATTTTCAAAAAATATTTACGTTTCAAATAATAATATAATTAACTGAGCACCATACTTAAATATTTCAAACTATCAACATGTGCCAACTTTTAAGGGAATTAAAAGCCAATACAAAAGCGAAATATCGAATTGCATATTTTTCAGATCTGCCATTTGAGAAGAGGCTTTCGTGCCATCGTCACTCCCGTCCCGCACTTATCATCTGTGATTGATAATACAAGTAAGTCTGCTGATTTTTTTTATGGCTTTTAAATTATTTTTTTTAAAGATTATTCCAAGAATATTGAAATGGTTACTTGAATAATCTAAAGTTATCAGGAAACTTATTCTAGATTTATTATGCTTAATAGGTTTTGTTGGTCTCAGGATCGATATTTATATAGAAAAGATTTGTAGAAAACAATTAAAATTGCAGAAATAAAAACAACAAGAAATTTCGACCCTTAAGGTCTGGATGTTCAGTCGAAGCCTACTCACTCATTGAACATTTATAATGTAGATTATACTCAAATCCACTAACAATCACAAAGAATCAATAAAAATGTGTGAAGAAACCTTCACTTTAGTTTTCTTTAACCTCCCTTTACAAAGAAATTGCTCTCCTCACAAACTCTCAAATTGTATACAAAATACAATCTAAACATCACTTAGATTTTAAAGAGATTGAAAATTAGAAATCACGAAGAAGATGAAAATCTCTCAAAGAAGATGAAACAAAACCCTAGAAAGTACGTGCACAGTGCCACGAAAGGGTCATAGGAGGTGTATATAGTCCAACCAAAAAATGAAGATCCAACGGTCACAATAGTGCCGGATGTAGGGCCAGAAATTTATCTTGCAATTTCAAGAGTCGCGTTTTCAATAACGCATTTTTCTTAAAGGATAAAACCCGATGCCCCAAACAGCATGGTCCTAAGACAATTAGATTTGGCTCAATCCAAGAATAGAGAGATAGCCTACAATAATCTCCACCTTGCTGATCTACTCTTGGGATTCTTTTGTGGATTCAATACAGTCTATCAGTTTCATTTGCTCTACACAACTTGTGACAGAAAAAAAGGAAGTTGTTAGATTATTTTAAATGAAATAGATTCAATAAAAAACTGAATTGAATTTATTACTTTTCAAGATATATTCAGAATTTTCAAACAATTTTTGAATTTGTTTAGGAGCAAAACCTTTAACCAATATCAGAAAGATTAAATTCAGTTGGAATTTTAACCAAATTAATCAAACCTTTTTCAACCATATTTTTAACAAAGTGAAATTTAATATCAACACACTTAGTCCTATAATGATATATAGAATTTCTGCTTAAATGAATTACACTTTGGTTATCTGTACCGATTCTAACAACTTTATTCATAAAACTAATTTCACTTAACTAACCCCTTAACCATAATCCTTCTTTAACAGCATTACATGCTGTAATATACTCAACTTCTGTAGAAGATAAAGTTACAAGTTTTTGTAATTGAGATTTTCAATTATACAGCCATCAGAAAGAGTAAATACATAAGAAGAAAAGTCACCGGCAAAATCAGAATCTGTATAACCCCTTTAAAATTACGCCTTCATTACATCTTTGAAATTTTAGTCCCAGTTTAGTTGAGCCCTTTAAGTATCTAATCATCCATTTTATTGCTAACCAATGAGTTTCACCTGGATTAACCATAAATTTACTAATAATACTTATTCCATGAGCTAAATCAGGTCTAATGCATATCATAAGGTACATAATAGAGCCAATAACATTAACATAAGATACTTGACTCATTCTATCATACTCTTTATCAATTTTTGGGGATTGTTCACTTGAAAGTTTGAAATGATTTGCTATAGGCAAGGCCACAGGTTTGCTTTTAGTCATAGCAAATTTTTCATGTATCTTATTTGCATAAGAGTTTTGGTTAAGATACAAAATACAGTTCCTTCTATCTCTCTTAATCTCCCTGCCTATAAATCTTTTTACTTGTCCTAAATCTTTCATTTCAAATTTAGTTTTAAATTTTTCTTTAACAAAATCAATTTCAGATATATCATGACAAGTAATAAGCATATCATCAACATATAATAAGAGATAGAGAGAGTTAGGTCCTCCTGACCCTTTGAGGAAAAAATAGGAATCAAAATTACTCTTAAAAAATCCCAAATGTCTGCCTGTTTCAATCCATAGAGTGACTTTTTTAGCAAACAGACTTGGCCTGATTTTGGGTTGATTTTGAAACTCTTTGGCTGATTCATATAAATGGTTTCTTTGAGGTCACCATTTAAGAAAGCAATCTTAACATCAAGTTGGTGCAAGTCCCAGTTGAAGTGAGCTGTCAAGGCCAATAGAATTCTGATAGAAGTGTACTTAGCAACATGTGAAAATATTTCATTATAGTTAATGCCCTCTCTTTGTTTAAAGTCTTTTACTACAAATCTAGCCTTATATCTTATATCCCTAGAATCAGGTTCACCTTCTTTGATTTTGTAAACCCATATATAGTCAACAACCTTTTGATGTTTATGTTCAATACAAGGATACATGTTTTATTCTTAATTAAAGAATCCATTTCTTCTTTCATGGCTTCCAACCAAATTTTCAATTTTTACAGTTTACCGCTTCTTCGAAGGTAGTAGGTTTAGAGTTAACAAATTCAAGCTCAGTATAGAAAGTCAAAAATTCATTTGTGTTGATTTTGGTGGAAGGGAACCTATTTTTTCTACCTCTGTCCCTATGAACCGATAATTTTCAAGAGCAGTTTCTTGAGATTGATTTTCGGTATCAGATTCATCTTGAGGCTGATTTATATCATATTAAGTAATCTCCATCCCAATCAAATTATCAGGTTCAGTATGATCATTTTCCAGATTTTCAGGTACAGTTTCTTTAACAGAGGTTATTCCATTAATATTTTGATTTGATGAATTCTTACAAGGGAACTAACTTTCATCAAAGATTACATTTTTATTAGTAATGACTTTGAACCCATCTTTACCTTTTACCCACAGTCTATAACCTTTTGTTTCTTCTTCATAACCTAGAAAAACACATTTTTGAGATCTGGGTTCAAGTTTTCCTATATCTTGATGAGAATAGGCAGCACAACCAAAGACCATTAGTTTAAAATAGTTTGGAGACTTTATAGACCACAAGTATTTAGGGACTTGAAAATCAATAGCACTTGAGGAAATTTTGTTTATTAGATAACTAACAGTTTTCAAGGCTTCTCTCCAAAAAAAGATTGGAAGTCCAGAACTTAGTAACATACCTCTCACCTTTTCAAACATTGTATATTACTGTGTGCCTCAAAATTCTAGATTTGTTACAAAATTACATATTATTTGTCTGATTTTCTATCATATGTTTCCATTGCTTAAAAGTTTGGAAAGTGTCAGATTTTTGTTTTAAAAGGAAGGTCTAAATTTTTCTTGAAAAATCATCTACAATCAACAGGTAGAATCTAAAACCACTTAGAGTACTTACTGATACTGGACCCCACAAGTTAGCATGTAAATATTCAAGTGTAGAAGTGGATTTATGGACCCCGACCTTAAAAAGCAATTTGTTTTGTTTACCAATACACAATCTTCACAAAATTCAAGTTTTTAAATGTTATCATTTCCGAAACATTTTAATCTGTTTAAAATAGTCAATCCCTTTTTCACTGTTGTGGCCTAGTCTCCTATGCCAAATTAGGGTTTTGTTATCATAAGACTTTACGATTGTAGAGTTGTTTCCAACTAATGGTTTAGCCTGCAGTGTGAAAATCCCATTGGATTTAGGAGAAGAAATTATTTCTTTAAAGTTTAGACTTATTCTGGTTAATCCTTTATAGATCCTGATTTTATATTCATCATCCACCTGCCCAAAAGAAATCAAATTTCTTTGAAGATCAGGCACATCTCTGGTTTGGAATAGTTAAAGGGTATTACTGTTTTCTAGCAAAAGCTTTAGGTTTCCAATACCTTTTATTTGACAAGTTACGTTATTTCCCATCTGAACATGACCACCACTAAGATCAGTAAAGCTAGTGGACCATTCTTTAATGGGACACATATGAAAAGAACACCCAAAGTTTAAAACCTATTCATTTAGGTTTCTTTTGGATATGGTAATAAGGACAACTCCTTGAATATCAGATTCAATATTACAGGCAATAGCTACAGACCCATCTACATTTGATTTTCCTTTCATATAAGATATTTTCTTAAAGCAGTATTTATGAGATGTCCGATTTTATCACAATAGTAGCATTTTCTAGTAGGTAGCTTGGGCTTTATTTGAGTTTTTTTCGGATTCTTGAATTTTGGAAATTGGGGTCTTCCTTTCTTGTGTGAATTGAAATTACATAGATTTTTCTAGTTGGTCTTTTTGTTTTGATTTACCTTTTCCCTAACATTTAGACCTTCCCCCAAATT